ACCCCAGGGGTGGGTGATTTGTGGGCAGGGAAGGGGGGGGGGGGGGGGAGAAGTTCAGGAGGTGCCTGCCAGATGAAAAAGGAGGAAAGGCTCTGGTCAATTTGTGCATAAAAGGGATCCTTGGCTTGGTCAGACGACGCTTGGCACGTTATTCTTAAGGAAGCAACAAAGTGAATCCAATATCCGCCGTTGCAGCACGCAGATGATGGTGCAGCTGGCAGCACTCGACACAATCGACACAACAGCCAGCCCAGGATGTTGGCAAACTGGCAGGAATTGGCAAAGAGTCTGGTCTGGTCCCCTTTCCAATGCTGAGCCTAGGCAGGTGCTAGGTACTGGGTAAAGTAGTCATCAGCAGCTCTCGGCATGTCATATAGTCCAGTTGACCTTTTATGGATGAACTACTGGGACATCCTTTCTCGTCGTCATCAAATCCCTGGGCTCCCTCCCCACGCGAAACCCATTCTGCCACGCGGCGGCCATGGCTCCTAAGCCTGTCCCGTCGCAGAACCACCTAGGTACCTAGGTAGTTAGTAACCTTGTGAGTATATCGGAGCAGCCAACTCCATACGAAGTACTACTAGATAACTACAGACCACGCGCATATCTTGGCATCCGCTGAGGTCCCCCAAGTACTCCGTACAAGGCCGCCTCGTTCTCTGCTCTGCTTTAATTAGGTCAGGAGTCGGGGATCTGCGCCTGAAAACCCCATCGTCTCTTCTCCAGCTCCGTATCTGTATGTGTATGTAACGCACATACACGCTTCGCCTGCCTTCTTGGCCTGTCCGGAGCGAGCCACGTAATCATGGTTCTCTAGCCACCCTTGGCAAACAACATGACACCCGTCTGTTCACTGCGTGACAATGCTGGATGCCAAGATGTTGGCGCGTGTGGGAGAGACGTTCAATTTGCTAAAAGTGTGGAATCAATGTGGGATACGTTTGAGAAGTCCAGGAACAAAGCAACAGAACAGCAGCGAAAGCGGGTCGCCCTCCCACCCATCAGTCATCACAACTCCATGCCCATAAGAGGGGGCCTGGAGGCCAGACAAAGCAGACGACCTCGGTTCGGCTAAGACTAACCTCAACTAGCCACAACCTTAATGTCGGACGTGGGTCAAGCGTCGAGCTCTCCCTGACAGTCATCATAGTGTCAGGCTCTGCGGCCTATTGGGTAGCGTCACCCAATCTCAACTTTGTCTCAATCTCAACATGTTTGGCTCCAATGTTTTTTTGCTATGGTTATAGCACGGAGTAGTTGCGCGGCTCCAAGTGGCTTTTCTCGCTTCTCCAACACAGACTACCGAGTAGTCCCAGGACGATCACCAGTCCCACGTCGCACACAGAACGATCCCGCAGTGCAGGCGCCACTTTATGAGTCGGCTCGTCATTGGTGGTGGCTTTTGCTGAATCCATACCAGTGTTGTTGTGGTGGCTGGGCATGTTGACGGCGCCGATTCTGCTCCGTTGCCCGATCCCTGTACTCCGTAGTTACTCCGTAGTACTCGTGCCACGCCCCACATTAGGTAATTCAGCTAGCAAAGCCCTCACCACTAAAGGTAGTGCTTATTACTAAGGCGAGCACATTAGTAAGGCGGGTAGCTTTTGA